TGCCACTCAGGTACAAAAAAAAAAAACACAAAAAAACAAAAAAAACCAAAAAAAAAAAACTAGCACAGACACAGAACAGTATTGTATTAACCTTCCTTTACAGATTTAGTTAAGATTCTGCATGCCTCGTTTCTCATTTTCAATATTACTTGGACCTTTGGAACCCTACAGCTTATTTCTGCAGCCTATCTAGTGTCACAACAAAAGTCACTGGTGGATAAGGAAAAGAAAGCAATTAACAACATCAAATATTTTGGGAACTAATGATGTAGTTTGTTCTCACTATCTCCTAGCAAGATATCTGGATATAGACCTTCTTTCCACTCCTCTCCCTGCTGCCCCAGATTTCTATGTAAGTGAGTTCAATAGATTGTAAATGTTGTAATATTTTAATTTCTTACATGTATAGTTCAGATAATAGTGATGGGACCTCTCATGGTTTGGGAAACGGTTCTCTTGTATATCTGTAGCAATGCAAGCAAGCCTTTTTCCAGTATATATTATTTTTAATCTCTATATTGTATAAGAGTTGAACCTTTTGGTGGCCATGGGCCTGTCACATGGGATCATGTCTTCTTTCTGTAGGGAAGCCTGAAGAAATAACTAAAAACTAGTAGAAATAAAACTACTAATTATATTCCTAAGGCCTAGTAGGCAGCAAAACATTGACACATCATTTCTTCCTTGAAATAAATAAGAGTTGAATATTTTGAGAATGTTATGAAGGTGTTATTTTCATACTATAAACAAAAGTAAGAGGATTTTTAAAAGATACCTTATCAAATGGTAAATAAAAAAGATAAAATTACTTGCTTTGCTGTTTTAAGTACATAAGAACTTAAAAGTTCAGGCACAAATTCAGAGATCAGTCTAGAGTCCTGTTTTGCAATCATAAAGTATGATACGATGACTAAATATCTTAAATATAGAACATAAAAATCCCATTCCAAATCTGAGAAATGCTAACAATAAACCACTTGTATGTAGGTGAAATATGCTTATTCTAACATTCAAGTATTTACCCTGAATTCCAATTCTGAATGACTGTATGTGTTAAAATGGCAGACCGGAATAAAGATATTTTGAGCTAAGTTTTATGGAAATTGAATTAACTCAAAATTTAGCAACTGGTTGAAATATATTACGATATACTGTAGAATCCCACTAATTTTTAAAGAATGACTGTACTAATAGATCCTTTCTATTTATGCAGTCCATAATGCCTCCTGGGCGCTCCATAACATTTTTATGCTGTTCTCCAGAGACTGATTCAATCCAATTACTTTTATCCACCCATAATCCTGGGCATATTGATTATCCCTGTACCCTTTTATTGCTGTCCAATCAGTTGAGCTGAATCTTTAACAAACAACCAAACATTTTGGGATGAAGTAAACGAGAGAAACCACTTTCAGCTTGCACATTTCAAACAAAGAGCCAGAACAAAAAGGTTCCCCTAGCTCCAGGGTATCCTGGCTCCCAGGTCAAACAAGCAAAGAGCACAAATCTTCCTAATATATGTATTTTTTGAACTCTTTGGATTCTCCAAGATTCAATCAAAAGCCACAAGCAGACTTGTCCACTTCCACAATGGCTGGGCTGATTAGCTCTGCTTCCAATAAGGCTTGTGTTCAGGGTGTTCAGTTATTTAGCTCTGTCAGATATTTAAACATTTGGACTACATCTGATTTAGATTTTTCTAAAAATCAGATCTCATATATAGGACCACAGGACTGAGAGAAGAAAACACTTTGGATTTGGGCTGCAAATAAAAGTCTGGCCTTAAATGGAGAGTCAAGCAGCAAAAATCTTGAGCAGTGAACCACTCTCAGTTAACTCAGCTGAAAAAATGAGGGCCCATCTATGCATTCAGATACTTCCAAGCTCTGAGAACCAGATTCCTTTTGAAAACAATAGTAGTCTGATTGTCAAAGTACATCCTCCTGGATGGAATGCCCAAGTTCAGTAAAGCTGAAGATATTCAAACATGAATTTGAATCCCACAGTTTAGTAGACAGCGCATTTTCCTAAAAGGGTGAAAACCTGAGATTTAATAATCACTCAGAGTTTTCTGCATTTTTCTTTAAAAAGGCATAATTTAAAATAGAATAAGAAAGTTTTTCACCAGGGAATTCTATCTAAACTTTTTTTTTTTTTTTTTTTTTTTCTGGTCAGATTATTTTAACTATTACAGTACCGGGTGTCTTTTCTATTCTATTCTTATTCTCTCTGGCCATGAGGCCAGAGTAAACAGTAACAATTTCGTCAGGGCAGGTGGGGAGTGCTTTCTTCAACTTTTTTGCGCTCTAATTGAGGACCTTTATCCTGTCAGAATATGCAGATGCAACTGGAGAGCCCTCACTGTACCAGGAAGTGAACTATGAAGGCTGCTCTGAAAGAAATGCCTCCTAATTTGTTATGCTGCCCCATAATATCAGAGGCAGATATTGGTGGTATAGCAGTAGAGGTTGCATCTTCCTGCAAATACGTCTTTATATTTTGTTGCTGTGTGGCAGATGGCAGCAGAGGGGCAGTCTGACAGAATGGTGTCTGACATGGAAGTGCGTATGAAGCAAAAGTGTGTTACTGAACTCTGCCATGTGGAAAAAATGGCATCCATTGACATTCATTGGTGCTTTTCGAACATTTCTGGAGACTGAACAATGGATGTTCTGCTGAGGTTGTGGGTAATGAGTTGCAGCAGTGGTGACAGCAACAGTGGGTCACCCTCACTAGTACACATATTTATCAGCACGGCATGCAGGCTCTTGTTCATTGCTGGTGAAAATGCATAGCCAGTGGTGCTGACTTTGTGGAAAAATAGTATTCTGTAGCTAAGAATTTGTTCTATCGAATAGTGTTATTGTGCTCTTTGTTTACCCACTGTAGTTTCCATGAAAATATGTAGGAGGCATTACTTTGGAGAGACCTGCGTAATACTGGAGTTCTCTAAACTAGAGAGGCTTAAATGTTGAACCAATTAGACCAGGGATCTGTCAAATTGCAGAGGGCAAACTGCCAACAGTAAAGGAATGTCATGTTCTTTTAAGAAAGTGCTTATGTGTGCCATAAAAAGGCTAGGTTCTTTCAGTGTTTGTGGTCTCCAGGTAAAGAAGAGTTTGAGATCATTATATACTCAGGAGTTGGAACTTGATGATCCTTGAGGTCCCTTCCAACTCAGGCCATTCTATGATTTTGGAATTATACAGACTCAGCCTCAATCTTGATTTAATTATAAACCTAAACTTTGTTTTGGACCTAGCTCCTAATATCTATTGAATTAATTTATTATCTCAATGAACATTTAGCTCCTATGTACCTTTGAGGATCCGGAACAGTATTACAGCCTTCTGTGTCCCTCTAAGTATCTCCAGCCCATCACTAAAACTCATTTATGGATGTTGTCAAAAGCTGTCAGGGCATACAGCTGTCAGCATTCTCATCAGCAACAGATCCCCCATGTTTGCTCCTCCCACTGAGTGCACGATTCCCACAGAGCTCCAAAGTTAAACCCCTCTGGAGAACAAGAATGTCAAGGCACTCCTTGTAGCAGAGTCTTCTAGCACCCTGAAACATATAACTAGGTTTTAAACCATTTATTTCAGAACTAAGCTAACAACCAAATGACTAGACTATTATGGAGCTTCAGCCATATCTTGCAAACAAACCTTTCACAATCAGCGTGGTATTCCATACTGGCACTACTGAGCTGAGGAGAGGGAAACAAATGTAGCTCAAAATACCTTTCCTTCTTAAATTCTAGGGGTCTAGTAACATTATGTCATCTTAGTGCTTCTTTTCATATACTACCTATGATGGCATTTGTGGCCATCATCTGGAAAATGGCTGTACTGCAACATGATCTATCCATGTCTTTTCTTCTTGGACAAACTTTGGGCATGACCCTACGTGACAGATCAGGACCGCTATAGCAGTGGAGCCTCCAGCATGCCTGCTCTGCAGAATGCCTGCTGCACTAGGTCTCTGTGGGCTCTTCTTAGGGCATACAATAGGCTTTTCTGCCCCACAAGCCCTGTGTTTTCTATTGGTGTATAATTAGCACTAGGTAACAAGCCATAGAAAAAAGTAATAAGCCTAATTCAGACATGCTCAACACAGTCATAGCACTCCTTTGTAAAATTTATTTAATGCTTTTTAGATATGCTCAAGCAACACTGGTGGAAAAAAAAATGCAATTCAAAGCATTTGCCTAGGATAACACTCAGTTCAATGAAATTCTCAATCATGTTACATAATCTTCATTTACAAATAAAACAAAAATGTTTGTGGAAGTGCATGAACAGCCTGTGGCTGTGGGCTTCGATCTCTTCAGCCACAGGGTGGAAACAGCATGTCTGTTCATCTACACAGCTACATCCAAAAAGCTATATGATGCAACTGGAGTCTAACCTTACATTTTTCAAACAGGTGTATCACTGTAGCACTAAGTCAAAACAATGAAATAAAAATCTGGGACAAAACAATTAACCTATCATCAGATGTCATATTTCTTAGAATGCTGACTAATTACACTAGCAGATTATCAACTGCAGTATCAGTACCAAAATACTGAGTTAGTTATTACACCTTTCCCTGTGTTTTTACGTACTACACAAAATCTTTAAAAAAAAAACTCTGAAAAATATGAAGCTTTACTGCAAAAGAAATTAATGCAACAAAATGGTGGTTTTAAGTGCTAAAGAGATATGAAGCATTGCCTCTTCATAGTGTGCTAAAGAGCAACAGCTGTATTTCATTTTAACTTGACGTGCTTCAGATCTCATATTCATATAGGTATTTAATGATCCAAACATGATGGTCCTATAGTATAATTACGTATATGAAGGCTCAACTTCATATGTAATCTTTTTAAAAAGATGCTTCAGTAGAAACCTTGCTTTGGTTCTAACAATGAATAATCTCTTTAACAGTGGAAATGCTTTGGAGGGGTTGGAGACTATTGACCATGGATCTTGAGCACGGCTGATAATCAAATAATGTTATTCCTTCTTGACAGACTCTTTGCTTCTTCTTCCTTCCCAGTAGAGCCAGTACAAGGAGAACAGGTAGAGTGCAAGACAAACCATCAAATCATAGTGGTAAAGTGTTGCAGCAAACACAAGAAAGAAGAAGAAACAAAAGATTTTGCAACCAATCTCTTTTAAACCTGGAGTCTCACTAGACAGCATCTGTTCTTCAGTATTCTGGTCAGACATATCTGCAGAATGAGAAATGTTCTGTTTTTCATCCTGCGAGTCATCAAGCCAATTTAGTGTTTTCCCCTCAGTTATTAAATGGTGAGAATCAGAGCCTCTCCCACCAACTTCTTTGGTAGCCTTACTAATTGAAATTTCTGGCCTCAATGACTTCTCTTGCTTGAACTCTGCTTGATGGAAACATTGACCTATATTGCTTCCTCTTCCTTCTCTAGCAACGGTTGTGTCTGAAGTGGAAGGTACTTCTTTTCTTTCAGCTTCAGGAAAGAGGCATTTATTAATATGTTTCATTTCATTTGGCAGACTGAAATCATATCCTGACTCGGCAACAACCTTTTCAATGACTTTGAATTCAGAGTGAATATATGGATGGTCCATGTCCGCTGTGGAAGATGACAGTGGAGGGCTTTTATAGTGGTAACTGGGCATAGTGTTTGTACCAGAAGTTGGTGTTTTTGTTTGAGCTTTGACGGGCAAATAGGAAGGTGTTCCAAGGTAGCTCTCTTCGCTATAGAGCTCTGCCAATTCTTCACTGTAGCGATGCTTCTGGGCACTCTGGGAATATTTAGATACTTCTTCTGAATGTAAGCCCTGCCCCAAGCCTTCTTTCTTTTCTGCAGAAGAAGCCTTCACAGCTCCTTCTGCAGGCAGAATATCTCCAATGTCTGGTTTTGCTTTGGCACGTTTTTCCCTGCTACTGCATACAGACATCGTTTCTCCTTGCAGTGTTTCATGTACACGTGCATTATAAATATCTAAAACTGATTCCTTTTCAAATTCGGTGTCATATAATACACCCACTGTGTTGAGTTGACAAAGAGCATAATGTGAACCATCATTTCTCCCTTCATGTGTATCAAACGCTGTTTCCTTTTCCTCTGTGGGCCTGTCACTTAGTGCAATCTCTTGAGGTAGCTTAGCAATTACTGCTTTTTCACTGGCAGACATTTTTTCTGGAGCACTTTCTGATGTTGTTTTAATTATATAAGCTGTACCTGCCTCTGCTTTCCCTTTAATGCCGTGCTCAGAGACAGGAGACTTTTCACAGCTCTCTGCCTCTTGGCAGGTAAATAACTCTTTAGTACATGAGCTCTGAGCCCCTGCATCACCCCCTGCTGCCCACCGCACCCCACTATCTGCTCGCTTCCATGCCAGTCCAGTGGCGTTTTCTTCACTTTCTGTCCCTGTCAGTCCTCCTTTATTTCCATTCTCTGTCTTTCCTCTGTCTTTTAACCTTGTGAATCCTCTGTGTTCCTGAGCATCTTCAGCTCTGCTTTCATTCTCTGGCAAGTAAGCCCCAGGTCCTGCTTGTGCAGGCCTGGCTCTGTACTTGTTGTCTTCATCTGGCAGGAACGATGCGCTGAAAGCATGTTTTCTGTGAGACTTGAAAGGCTTGGGTGCTTCTTCCTCTCCAATTAGTGCTAAATCTGCTATTTCAATGACTCTTTTCTCCTTCTCTGTATCAGTGTTATAATTCTTTTCTGACAATTCACAAACTCCTTTTTTGTGTGTATATTGGCTTTTTGTGGAATCTATTGAGACATCAGTGTATGCAGAAGTGTCAGTATGTAAATCTCCTTTTAAATGTGCCTGAACTTTGCTTTCAATCATCTCAATTTTTCCTTCGTTTTTGTCAGCAGCTGATGACAATGAATCCAGAGTTTGGTGAGATATTTTCGGCACTTGGTGCTCTGGAGCTGGATTAGCATTGCCATCCAGCGTTCCTGTTATGCATGCTTTTAATTGCAAGGATTCATCACGCACTGAAGAAATGGCTGCTGGTCTCATTTCACAGGCCTCTTTCGAGATATCATCCTCACTGATGAATAACCTCTCCATCATCTTACTTCCTGAGGCACTATCTGCTTCACCTCTTGTAATATCTGTGTGGCTCTCTCCTTGTCGGCTTGAGACAGGAGCCACAATATTGATAGCCTCATTCTGCTTTGTTCCAGGAAAGTATTTTGCCGATGAAAGGGTTTCACTGATACCAGTAGAATCCCAAGACTGTTTGCTGCTGTTTGCTGAGCCAGCAGAGACTTCCTTTTCTGATGGGTGACTATTATAACCTCCTATGGAATACTTAGCATTACCTTTTAATTCTTCTCCTATCACTTGTGAAGTGTTTTCAGATAAGGAACTGATAGGCACTGGGTGCCTCAGCAAGTCACTGCTTCTTTCTACACAAGTTAGATTTTTCTCCAGTCTTACAGTTTCACTTGGAAAATTAACTGGTTCTGTTGTGTCTAAATTCCTTTCATCTCTGGAAGAGGTACCTTTAGCTCCTGTGAAGTGCTGATTTAGCTGAAACAATAGAATAGAAAAGAATGATCAAAAAAGGCTTTACAAAAAATGTGCCAAATGAATGAGGCAGGATTTTGTTATGGAAAGTTTTGTTTTCTGTAACAAAGCTTTTATGGAAACGTGTTCCGAACCATTTGCAAAATTTGCATTGTATGTATTTTTTAACATAGGTAATGAGCTTTATGGTGGTGTTGAAAGGAGCAGGAAATAAAATAGAATTCAGAACCCTCTCTCTTTATTCATGAGTTCAGTAAGCTGCTAGTGCATTTTATACAAATTAAATCTGAAGAGAATATTCCCTTAAAGGGAGGCTAATTCATTCTCTGCACATTCGGTTCTAGGTTTGGAGAGAGAGAGGCATTGGGGAGGGGGAGGATTGGCACTTAAATGAGGGCAGTGATACAGTACATCAAAGCCTGGTAATGTACAGCATTGTCCAGTAAAACAAAGACACATTTCACACTGACAAATACTGTAAGGATTATCTTTGCTTCATTTCTCCCAGGGACCATTTTACAGGCTTCAAACCAGACTGATTTTAGACAATCTAGTAAGACATGAGTTGGAAATGAGATTAGTGAAGTAAAAGGCCAGAAACTAATCACTCTCCCTCCTAGCTCCCATATATCATATTGTATTATTCAGCTATGGCTGCTTGTCATTGCACTCTCTTTTCACTTTAGCATAGTCACACTGATAGCACTAGCTGATCAATTAGAGGCTAGCTTCTTGGGCACCCCTTTATGCATTTGCACTTGCTGTAGATACCCCCGTTACAGTTTCTCTTATTAATATGTTTTCTGCAAAGCCTCTGCAAACTATTAATAGTAAAACGTCACTCAAAGAAAAGTGAGGGAGCTAATGTCTCTGCAAATTCTGTTTTAATGACCCTCTGCCAACCAGTGCTCAAGTGTATTTGAGTTCTTCGGTGATGCCAACTGTCAGGATTTAACAGTGAGATGCCTGTGTTTTTTTCCCCTCCTCATAACTGACATTTGCATGATCTCAATAATTATATGCAAATCTTACGATTTCCCCTTCTTCTCACATAAGGCTCATGTTACTTGTCAACTGCACAGCTGTCTTGTGAGCCAATGCCTGTGCGTTTCAAAGATTTGGTTGTATTTCCATCTATTATAAGCCTTCATTGTTTAATTCATTAAAGAGCGCATAGTGCAAATTAACATCTAAATTATAGCTCCCCCTTCATTTATTGTACAGACAATCCTGGCAATTGATAAACAAACGGTTATATTTGATCCTGCTTTTTGTAACAGAGTGGACTGAGAACAACAAGGGATTTTGAGGTCCTCCTTTTTATGTTTCATCATAAAAGAAAAAAAAAGAGAGAGACAGGTTGACTTTCAGGCACTGAAATATCCCACAATAGGCAACAATTTTGAACTTATTTGGAGAAAAGGCAAGAAAAAAATATATTCAAATAAGAGGAATTTATTTTCTCTATTAATAAGGAAAAAAAAAAATGGTTCTCTTCCTCTCTTGATTCAGCATTCACATTTTCACAGGTGATAGCTGTTATAATCTGTGATTACAAAACTATGCACCCAAATGATTGTGAGCTGAGAACAGACACTGAGAATAATAAATTGCTGTATGTGTCTCATTTATTGCTATTTTTTCTTTCATACTGAAAAATGTAAGCCAAACCATAGACATGCACACAGACAAACCCAAATAGATTGAATGTTCACTCAGTGTAAAATTTATTATAACAAATTTGGTACCAAACGCTGATATAGAACGATGTGCTATATACATATAGGTATGTATTTTGTTCATATAGCACGTCACATACTTATGCTTTGAAAACAACTAAAAGCAAACAGTACCATAAATAAAAGAATTACACCAAATATAAAACATTTCTACAAGAATGTACCTATCCCAGAGACTAGGATGAGAGATCTTTGAAATATTAGTCTTCTAATTCCTTCAAACCATCACTTAGAGCCTCTGGTAAAGAGGTAAAAGGGAAAAGTCATTAATTTAAGACCAGAAAAAGTTGATGCACTATGCTGAAATCAAAGCACCTTCTATTGTCGAATCAGTTAGAAATTCAATGAAAGTACAGACCAAGGCTTTACATTTGTAAATTAGTACATCAGTCAGCTCTGTTAAAAGGGGGCATTTCACCAGCTTTGAAGCGTAAATGGATTCATATCATTTAATACTGTAGATATAATTGTATAACACTTACCAGCAACTCTAATTCTTTTTCATCATCTTCATGATCACCCTGGTTGTATTCTGCATTTTTATCTTTTATATTTTCATTAGCTGGTGCACTCTCTTTGTCTTCTGCTTGTGAACAAACAATCTCTGGGATGTTTGCATCTGAAGAGTTAACAAAAACACGCTTGAATAATTTCCATGGGATTATTTGTTACACTTCTTTAATTAACATGAACGCTACGAAAGAACTAATTAAACCAGGTGTAGTACCTGAAGTCCTTGAATTATTCCATATGTCACCATCAGATGTTGCCAATATTTCTTCTTTGCTGTTAAACAAAAAGAAACTTTCTGTGTTATTCTGCAGAAAAATATTGTTCTAATTGCTCTTAGACTCAGCTAGAAAGACAGCTGGTTAATTACACAAAATTTTGAATGCTGTTTGAAAGTCTGAAGATAACAGCCTTATCAAAAGTAGTTTCTTTGATTGACCTGATATTAACTTTTGGACAAAGAAAGAATTGGCCAAGAAAATGAAAATGTGTTGACCTTCAAATTACATTACAAAGCTGATGGGTTTTCCCAGGCCTTTTCTGAGAAAGCAGCACAGAGGTGATTAGATGGGTCATTGACAGGCGAGAGTAACTTTGGGGTCAGACAACAATCTGCAAAGATGTATGTTCACAGGAGACTGGAACTCTCACTTGTTTATATTTTTCAAATATTTGTGTACAGAGCTTGCTGGAAAAAGACATATTTGTAACCTGAAACAAATCAAAAGATTATCTCTGCGTGCATACAGTATAGATCCTGTTGCTAAGCTGTGGATGGCTGATAGGAATGAATTCTGCTTCCCTGAAGCCAATGCATTTTTTACTGTTGCTTGTGCTGTTGTGAAAACAAAGGTCAGGTCCAACACAACAAACACCTACAGAGAGAAGCTGAGCACCTGCTGTCCTCATCAGTACCAATGCAAAATGATAGCAGTTGGAATTGTCTGCTCATAGGGATGCAACATTTAGTAGAAAGGAGAAAAAAAAAATGTAAAAAGGATGCCACTTATATAAAATGTGAATTATTATGCCACTCCCAATGCTTTCACTATGAGATGGATTTTTTTTTCTGTAGGTTTTTAATTTATGCATTTTTCAGCCAGCTGTCCCCCTGTGTTACTGAAAGTTAGTTTCTAATTTTTTTTTAATCTTTTCCCCCTTCTATATTATTATTGGGTGTTTTTTTTTTTTCCATTTGAATTGATATAACATTAACTCTGCCATTTAAAATGCTTAATTCAGAAGGAGGATGCTAAATTTATACTTCATTAAAAGGTACTACACACTGACTGTCACCAACTTTTAGGAATCCAGCCTTTCCAGGGACTGCCAGACAAAAGCAGACAGAAGATCGTTCCAGTCTAGCATCTGATCTCTGACCCTGGCCACCATCCGATACTTCAGGGGGAAATGTAAAGTTCTTGTAGGAAAAGATATGGAATAATCTGAATCGCCCTATTTAATTTTTTCTTGGACTTTGTTAGACATTTGTCCTTAAGGCATCAGATTTAACACTCTTTCAGTGGTTCTTTTTTTCCCATTAATTGCAATAATGCTGAATATTTTTGTTATCCATATGAATGTCACATCACTTTTGAGTTCTGCTACATGTATAGCCTCCACACATTTTTCCCTCTCCTACTCACACCAAGTTGTACTCTCCTCTGCCAACAGCTGCTGTACTCAGAATAATCTGCATTTCATCCTGAAAAGGCTGGCAAAGAAAGGCCTTTAATCAGATCTGTGCATTTTTTAAGGTAAAACATCACTGATTATTACTGATTCATCGTTATATTTGTACCGTTACTGTTACATATTAATTTTACTCTTAATGTTATATGAAGAACCCTGTTTTGTTCCATCCCTTTGCAACTTTTTCAGCCACCTGTGTCCATAAACCTAGCCATATGGAGTAAGTTGGGGCTTAATCATGAGACAGATGCATACAGAAGTTTAGTTGCTAACGGGGTATCTGCAAAAGCCTTAAGTGCAGAACCAAAACTCTGTATAACACGTGAGCTGAGTTAGTCATCCAAAATAATGATCTCAAAACCGCATGGGCTGAGCAGAAGGTCTCCTACTTTTAGCCAGTGGGGGAAAAAAATCTCAAAGCCCTTATTTGAATGTAGATTCAATAGGCTGTAGATTCAGGGCTACCTGCAGCTTCTAGCTATGTGGATATAACTCTCAGGAAACAGAGGAGGCCTCTCTTGCTGCTACACAGAGTCCTCACCTGCTCTTAGAGAAATGGAGTGTGACCCACTCTAGTCCTTCAAGAAGCACTCCCAGAAAAAGGGATGCCTGTATATGAAGTAATAGTCTACTATCAGCGGAGCATGCATACAAAATGCAGTGTCACACTCAACTTCAATCATTAGAGATTAAAAAATACACTGCATACACATCCAAAAACTACCCAAGTGACTCCTGCTCTTGAAGTTGGATGTACTAGCGTGACTCCTTAGCTTATTCTTCATTTCTAGAAGAAAAAAAAAGGAACTGGATTCTGTCCTCAGTTCCACATGCTTCTTATCCAGTGATTATTTTTGTTTTTGACAAACACCTTTTTGGTGTAAAATACAGATGCTGTTGAATAAGATTATTAAGGAGAATCTCTTTCTGAATGTATATAGCTGCTTTGAGGTGGATGCCAGAATGTGTCTTAGCTTCTTAGCCTTAGTTTCCTAAACACCTGTGCTCAGGCAGTTGTGTACATCACCCCTGTCATCACTGATGGGAGACTAACGCTTCTGAGGAGAGATTCGCTTCCTCTGTTTGGGACATCGCCAGTGAGATGGAGAGAAATATCCTTTGAAGGAGCTTTCCTCCCTCTGGAGGAACTGACCATAAAAGAAATCTACAGTGACTGCCTTAGGCTGAAACCAAAAGTTTTAGATAACTAAAATAAGCTGAACTGAATCCCACAATGTGACTCCAAATCCAAACTGGAAAGTAGCTAACGAGTTTTAGCAGCTGGGACTGCACCACATTATGTGTGACCTGAGCACCTCAGTTTTACTTGGCTGTGTTTGTCCTTAACCCTTGTTCAAGTATCATCTAAAGCCCTGGACCACAGGTTTCTTTTCACAGCTGTAACAGATAATAAATATCAATGATAATATAACCCCACAGCATGAATCCACAGCAAAAGAAAACAGTGCAACATTTCAAGGTTTCTAACATGACTTGTTTCTTGTTGCACTGAATTTTATAGAGATTGTTGGTTTGTAACCCATAATTTGTGCAGCTCTGTCCTGCAAATGCGTGGCTGCAGGGAAATTCAGTGCAACAACTGTTTTCCTTATTTTACTTCTACATCAGAAATATCTGTCCTCATATAATTATTCTAGTGGGAAATCTGAAATTAACCTAAATTGAGGATATTAATACTGCAGTCTTTGAGGATCACAGTACACATAAAACAATAGTAATTTAACAGCACTATTTTAATCCAAGGAATGTTATGAAGGTGCTGAGTCCATAGCTTGATATAACTTAAGAACAATCTCAAAGGTATATGTAGAGCTGAAAGAGTGAAATATCTCCCCCAAACCTATAAATATTGGCCATTTTAACAAACAGTGATAAATAGATAGGAAAAAAAATCTCTACTATTAAAACATTTAATCAGTTTTTAACACTGCTTTTCAAGAGTATCCTTTCTTCTTTGTTCTTTATGGAAGCTGTTTGTCTAGTTAGTTAAGTAAATTGTTAAAATAATTCAGATTTTGTGTTATAAAGTAATTAACACACTGCAGTTTTCAGGGATCTAAATGTACCTATACTGTGTATTGAGAGGCACAAAATTTGTGTTCAGTTTTAAAATGTTTATTTTTACTTTTAAGTGAAACTAGATATTCTGACAAAATGCAAGTTAGAAAAATTCCTGCTGTCAGCCAGTGCAGTTTGCCTCCAAAATAAGTACCTGCATACCTGCAGAAGCGCAGTTGGGTTTTTTCCTTCATATGAGCAGTACATCAGAAACTTAAGAATTTCTACCAGCTTCAAAAAATACTTTTGCTTATATGATTCACTCTTGATGGAACTACCATTCATTTGAACTAAGTGATAAAAAGAAGTAGAAATGCAAATAGGCTATGAGTATAATTTTGCCTTTAGACAGAGTACAAAGCCAAAGCTCAGGCACTAGCCATTTAGTAGGACTGAGGGCACTGGAGAGTTGATGGACATTATGGAAAGGATTTTAACAATCTCAAAGTTATGTAAAACTTGCATCCCAGATAAAAATGTAAATTTGAATCTTAAGATGATCACCTAAAGATGTGAAGAGTAAGCAGAGAATATATGAGTGATGTATAAAAAATAAAAAATTAGATAACAAAAAAAGTATTGTTTTGTCTTCACAAGGTATTGGGATAAAGTAAGATATGGCAAGGATTTGGAATTAACCTTTTTCAGTTGAATAGGATTTTTAGAGGAGAGGTTTGATCAAGACTTCAGAGAAGTTGTGTATAATTCCACAATCAAAAGACTTCTCGGAAGCTTTTTTATCCCAGCGCTGGCAATGGGACAGAGTCTCATTTAGAGGAACACTATGAGCAAGGTATAACTGATGGGAAAATAGATTAAGAAAATGGTATTATTTAATTCAGTCTGGGAGCAGAACTTGTTTAGATATGCTCCAGTTAAGTGAATCAGATAATCTCCAACTCAAAATAGTGACAGACCCAAGAGAGGAAATAACACATAGTTGAAATTCTTTTCTATTCAAATCTGTCATTTTGGTCCAGATACTTTTGTAACAACATCAGAAGACAAGGAAAAAGATTTAGGAAAATTAAAAGTAGTGTCTGGCAACTTTGGACCCAGGTGTCTTCAAAAAGTCTTCACAGTAGACAAAACTTATATGAGAGAATAAATACAGATAAATGGAAAATGACATAAAAGTGCCAGACTCACATGATAATATCTGTCTTTGTTAAGATTGCTGTATTTCCCTTGTCTAAAAATCAGTTATCTGATCTATCTGGACTTCATTAAAGCATTTGTTATGCAGCCACATGGGAAATTTATTAATTAAACTGGAGAGGAGGGAGATCAGAGCAGGAGCTCAGAGGTGGGAGAGGGGCTCGGTGCCAAGCAGGGCCTCACAAGACTGGCTGCGCCGAGCTGGCAGACGTCGCCCTGGAATTCGAGAGGACCAGCCGTGTGATCGCTCAGTCATTTTATTACAGACCACAGCACAAAAAGTCAAAGTTAAATTAAATCTGTGGCAGATAGGAAGTTGGGAGACATCACCATCACAGAGGAGGACT